ACGCTGTCATCATATCATACCTGGGGGAAAGCCCAAGTGAAACTTGGAGCCGAAACCAGTCTACTTACATGCTCATGCTTTCAACACCACCAGCAAGCCCAACTTTGATATAGCCGGCTTTGATATCAGAAGCTATGTTAGCTACTGCCTGGAGGCCACTCGAACACTGACGGTTAATTGAAACTGTTGGAACCTCGACCGGGATGCCAGCCATCAGAGCAGCCATGCGAGCCGGGACTACACCCGAACCTGAAGTAGTAGACGATGCAAAGATCTAAACGAGTTGAAATGCCTACCAGACTGCAGCACGTTGCCCATTTGGACATCCCCGATGGTCTTCGGGTCTACACCAGTCCTCTCAAGAACAGCTTTCATCACTGGGCACATCATATCCTCCACCGAAGTCGTACGAAAGGATCCTCTCTTGGCCTGTGTCAACAGAGTCAACATAAGATGCTGTTATAAGTTACCTTGCAGAGTGGGGTCCTCAAGGCAGCGCAGATGACTACGTCATCAGGCCTCTTCTCATCCCTGTAGTTGTTTGGAGGACCACCCGAGACGTGAGTGGAGACGGCGGCCACACGGTTCATGGCTAAGTGAAGGAGGGACTCTGCCGACGAAGACGACTGACTACACTCAGGAGCCCGTCAATTCAGCGTATCATCGATGCTCCATTGACAGAGTTGAAGAACGTCCGAACTTCGGACTCCGAAGTACCCACTTAATCTTCCAATAAACGCAAAACGCGCATTTCTCATCACTATCGATCATTATGGCGCGCGCTAAATGCAAGACGTGTTCGATCCGAATCTTCAGTCGATCTTGTCGCACTGAGTCTCAGATGGTTATTAGGGATATTTCTCTTGATCGACAAGTTATTCTAAAAGTCTCATTTCCATTGAAACGCCCTTTTGTACGCTACAAAAGAATTACGAGGGGTTTAACTCTTGTATGTTGTTTGCAAGAGTCGCTTTTCTCGTCGATAGCCGGGAGTCATACTAGATAGCTTAGTAGAGAGGAGTATTCGAATAACAATAAGTCTGATGAAATATGCGTATTAACCCTATGG